AAAAACACATTTTAAACTAACTCCCCAGAATTCAACAAATATATGGTCGCAAGACAAAAACAATTTATGAGAAAGTTTTATTGGGCTTGTCGCAGGGTTTATGCCCCATATTGCTGCCAGAAACAAGGAGGATGCTTTGGCTTCACATTTTGGAGATCCGACCTCCATCTTTATTTACAGTCTGTGGTCTGAATCAACAACCCACGGAGGTTTGACACCCAGCCTTTAGATGACTAATCTGATCATTTGTTCATCACACCACATTTGAGTTTTTAACCTCAGGTTTCCATTCACAAACACAGATGGTTTGTTTCAAAGTCCTTTTTAAAGACCTTTCACTGAGACTTCTGGGACTTGAAGTTCAGAACCTACTAAGGTTTGTCACAATGAAACGTCCACGATGAAGTTCATGGTTGAGACATTGTGAGACACTTTGGATGCCAGCCTGGAACCAAACAGCAGACACCTGTCCAAAGGCACATTCATGACAAACTAATGGAGCCTTTTAATCGCTGCCACTGTCACTATCGCTATCATCCTCCTCTTCTTCCTCCTTCTTCTCTGTTTCCTCTACAAGTCCTGAGAAGAAGTCGTTGTCCCCGTGGGCTTTCTTAGTGAGAGACTTCATTCGTCCGTCTTTCTTCTTCCTCTTGCGGTATTCTTTGACTGTCGTGTTGGGTAAACTGGAAATGTCCCAGAACTTGATGAGCTGGTCGTGACCGCTGCTGACCAGGAAGCGGGAGTCCTGGGACTTGGCAAGTTCTTCAATGGGTTCCCCGATGTGCTGCCCGATGCAGCCGATGACCCGGTTAGGAAGCAGGTTGATGGCGCTGATGGAGAACAGACCCAGTGTTACTATGTTAGTAAGTAATAAGCTTTTAACACAGTCAATCATAACCCAACTCACCGGATGTACCCATCCATGGAGGCGGTGCACATGATGTTGTCGGTGATGGGGACGATGCAGTCCACCGACTCGGCCTTGAGAGCGAAGCGGTCGCTGGTGGCCCCGAAGCCGTTCCAGTTGAAGATGTAGATGGTCCCCTCGCTGGAGCCGCAAGCCACCTTCTTCCCCCGCTTCATCAGGACCACCGAGGTCAGATCGCCGCTCTGATACTCCGACAGCAATTCAAAGCGTCGCCTCTTGATGTTGAAGACGCCCATGGTACCGTCACCACTGGATCACATCACAGGGGATCAAAGTATAAAGGGTTTTAGAGTTGATTCTGAGTTTCTCAGCTTCACAACAAACATTGTCTATTGTCATTGTCTATGGATGAAACAGGAAAAAACACTGGTCTGGTCCTTTAAGTGTAAATAACAGTCACAGTATATGAGGTTCTGTCTGACGGTTATTACCTGGCGGTGAGAAGGATCCTCTTGGCCTGGTCCACAGCGATGTCACTGATGTAATCCTCGTGATGTTTCAGATCCATGATCGCCATCCCTTGCCTCATGTCCCACACCTTCACACACAAACAAACACACAAACACACACACACACACAACAAGTCAACAAGATTTTAGCTCAGCGGTGGAACAATGATCTGGTGATGGATCAGTTAATGGGATATTTTCTGGAGTATGAACAGTATGAATTTCACAATGTGTGTTTAAAAGCAAAAACTTCACTCAGGAGCAAAAACCAGTCCGAACATTAAATTTGCTTCTGGAAAAGACTGACACCTATAGAAAATATGCACGTTTAAAAAAATAAATCGCGTTTTGTTAGAAACCCAATCGATACTGATATCAGGGAGTAAAGTACTGCGGATAACAAGCCCAGTATATAAATTGAAAAACATACATTTCAATTAGTAAATGAAAGTATTCGGTCCGGACCTTCAGGGTTCCTCCGTCGTCTCCGGTCGCCAGGATGTTTTCGTCCACCAGCAGCAGACTGTTGATGGGAGAACCGTGGGCCCCTCGGATCCTGGACACCAGCTGCCCCCGCTCCACGTCCATCAGGTGCACGGCCTTGTCCCGGGACACGCTGTACAGCTTGAGTCCGTCCGCGCTGAAGCGAACCTGGCGGCAGGACTTCATGTGATGTCCCGACGACCACAGCTCCCGGTTCTCCCCCTCCGTGCACGAGTACGAGTAGGCGTACACGTCCCCATCCACGTCCCCGCACACCAGCATGTCGCGGCTCGGGTGAAGCGCCACCGTGTTGGCGATCGCCTCCAGGCGGATGTCCTCCGGGGTGTCCCGAATCTTCGGGACGGGCGGCTCGCCTCCGTCCTCGTCCTCATCGGAGCCCGGGTCCGGGTCCTGGGATGCGGGCTCAGAGTCTGAGGATTCTGTTTCTCTGGCAGCTTCTGTTTTGTCCGTTTCTGTCTCCGTGGATCCAGTTTCAACGTGTTCCGCGGGCGCCGCCATGTTGTTTGTGTTCTTCTTCTTCTTCTCATTGGGTTTGGCAGGCTCGACGCTGTAATAGCGTGGTGTCGCCCTCTACCGTTTATAATCAGTACTTCATTTCAATACTTTATGCGGAAATGACGTAGGGACGCTAAAGATGGCGTCAGTTTCAAACCGCTCCGGACCGAATGTTATGGTAAGTGTTTCTAAAAGTTTACTACTCATTATTTACGTGTTTTATTGTTATGGTTCCGGTTCTATTACATTGATGAACAGTCGTGTCCTTGTTAAAGTCCATTTTTGGGAAAACAAGATGTTATTGTGGAAAAACAAGCGATACAAGCGTCTTCGTGTTTCGCATGGAAACATAACTCCATTCAGAAAATGACCGATTTTTTAAGTGTTTGTAGACTCGCAACAACTTAGATGAGTTTGAACAAACGTGAACACACAAGAATGATTGCTTTGACTGTCTGCTGAATTCGGCACATACCTGATCCGTCAAACAGCTTTTAAACGTGAGTAGAATCGTAGCTGAACATTGACTTTGTCGTAGCTTTGGACAATTAAGATTAAATAGTAAAAATACAAATAATACAAAAACCCTTTATGTGTTTGACTTATCCCGAATTGAAACGTTCATCCACATGACATTGTTACAACTCTGTTCTTTCTAAAAGGAGACACGCGACTCTGACAATCTTAAGGTGAACATTTAAAAGGTCGGTTTGCGAACGGAGATCGTTTTCTCTTCAGTGCATCTGCTGCCCTGACAACCGCCTCCCCGGGCACCGACACGCCCTGCTGCAGGAAACATCCTGTGCTCATTCATCTGCTTCACAGACTCACTGATCTCTGCTCGAAGAAGCGGACATGCAGACCGGACCAGCGGAGCGGAGGAGAAAGGCTGGCCGGGGCCGGCGAGGGGAGAGCGGCCACAGCCGAGCAGAGCCGCGGTCGAATCAGCCGGTGGTCCCGGTCACATCTGTGAGGACGTCCGGGGAGGAGGTGGCGAGGTTATAATCAGTTTTTTACTATTAGGTGTGTCCAAGTGTTATCTTGAAGTTCATATGAATTGTTCCACATTATTAATATTACATTAATAATAATTATTATTATTAAGAGCATAATTTAAAATATAAGAGATCTCTATGAATCCTCACTGAACTTCACATTCGTCTCCAGGCTGAAAGAAATCATCACTGACATGCAACAGAAGACAGGAGAAGGAGGGGAGTCGGAGGATGAGGACGAGGACGGACGGAGAGGAAGAAGGAGGGTTGTCAGGGGGAGGAGGGCAGCGTCGGAGGGGCGTGAGTGGAGCGAGGAGACGGGGAGGCTGAGGTGGAGGATCAACGAGCTGGAGAAGGAGAAACTGGAGCTGACATCCACCCACAACCACGAGGTGAGAAACTGAGAAGAGAACATTCAACTAAATCTGACTCCAATGCTTTAAGGGTCCGTTGTCATGGTGGTGACATGGTAAATTACTGTATGTGTGTGTAGCTGTGCAGGCTGCAGGCGGCCTTAACTCGGCTCAGGTCATCAGTGGAGCGAGGTGAGGCTCAGAGAGTGGAGCTGCAGTATCAGCTGACTGTGAGTCAGAGAGACGCAGAGCGAGTGGCAGAGCTCAGCAGAGACAAACACAGGCTCACAGGTACATGAATCAAACGCACACTCGAGACACAGTCATGGGGGAACACAGTGATACTAGTGTGTGAGTGTGTGTGTTTCTGTGTCAGAGCGAGCAGCAGAGCTCCAGCAGACGGTGCACGAGCTACAGAAAGCTCTTGACATCACCCGACAGGCTAGAGAGGAGGACCAGCATGCTTTGCAGCAGGAGGTCGAGGAACGAGACAAACTGATTCAAAGTTTCAGCTCCGAGAACCAACAACTGCGACAACTACTGCAGGTCATACACACACACAGAGACACAGACACACACACACACA